GTATCCCCGTATCCAGCGGCTTCCCATAACCTTTGTCAGATCGTATACCAATATATATGTAGTAAAATTAATTTATAGAACACACTGGAATAGTGCCTGGTTCCAATTAAAATTTCCCTTTGATCTCTCGGATATAAAGTATGTACAGAAAGAGTGATTTCCAATGATTCCGTTGGCTGAATGCAAACACTGACAGGCTCTGTGCTCCTGTATCGCATATACAGTTTGAAATTTACTAGACCAGGTTCCGTTGGCTATTGGCAAACGTAGGAATATTATTAACAGTTCGTATTATTTCTATAGATTTATATTTTTTTTTCATAGATATATTCATAGATGTAATACACTATCTAATAAATATACTAAAAATATAAAATAATATTAGAAAAAGTAAAGATTTGATTGTTTGTTTCCTATTACTATTGATCCTCGTCGAAAAGAACAAAACTGGTTGCAACCCACCACACTGGTTCAGTGCAGATTGGCGGGTGTTAACAACTAAAGACCAATGTCTTAACTCACGTTGATGAAACACGCAGAAATGTTGAATGGACCCGTTTAAAATTGTCAGCAATTTCACGACTGGCGTTTGATTAAGTTTAAAGTTCTTTTTACATACGTCAAGATCTCATAAGGCAGTTAATTATATTTAAGTCAGTTTTATGTTATATATGTATATACATAAGTATTTATTTATAAACTGATGGAATTAAACAACAAACGTATGAGCAAGAGTGCACACGGTAAATATCAGGAAATAGAAATAACAAAGAAATGGGAGACAGATCGATTAATTTATATTTACAATAATCAAAAACTTTTTTTCTTCTTTTACTCGAGTGTCGCGTTTTATGACCTAAAACGTATTGAAGAGTAAGATTAGTACTCTCGTGTTTAAAAAAAAGTACTTGCAATACGAACTCATACGCGCTGCGGACATTAAATACCTACATGATTTGACTTATTATCTAATAGTACACGATATCATATATTTTTTTATATATTTAGTTTTATATATTGAACCATGTCCTTCCACTCTGACCAACTAAACCGATCACACAAACAGAACAAGTATTTTTCTTTCTCAACGAACAAACTTTTTTGGTAGATTCGATAGGAATATTTTATCAATTTAAATTTGTTCCCATCCTTCAATACAACTTTAAAAGGATCAACTATTTTTCTTTCTCGTCAGTACAACTTTTTAATCGACTTCGAAATCGGAAAGCAAAAGGTTTTAGCTTTTTTTTAAAGCTTTGTTAGAAAGCTTTTATATACGTCATATCACTAGTAATATCATGGGTAAGATTTTCTTCCAAATTTATTTTTTACTTTTAATTTAGTCTTATATTTTAAGCTATTTTCTCTTCTCAATGAGCTACCACCCTGCTTAAAAAATAATCTGCTATTTTAGGTGGGTCGCCATATTGGATATTTATAATATTATATGCACATGTTAAGGACAAAAGTCTTTTAAATTTTATTAAAAAAATGGATATAGAGTGAAGTTGTTTCATTTACGTATTTCTCTTACCACACTTTTTCATATCATACTTAACGTGACAATTCACAAAAAGTAACGAGGCCGCCATCTTAGGCCGTCCGCTATATTCATAAAAAAATAAAGGTATTTAAAATTTTAAGACGGTGGAAGAGAACTGCTATAGGTACTAGATAGTTGACTTGCAACATTTGAGTAACATATAAAAAGTTTGTACGATATTTTTTATTATTTTGTGACAGGTTTTTCTTTAATTTTTACTGTTAATGGATGGCGCTAGTAGCACCCTATTAATGATTTTATATTGTAAGTTTTGCAGTACATTATGCATATAACAATTCAAACATATGTTCAACTGTTATATTTATTTGACTGATTTCAGTGTATCAAAATAGAAGGTATCACATTAGCGTCATCTATTGAAATTGAAATTTTACGTTACGTAACGTTGAAGCTTTGTTACCAAAAACGTGGACAGCTATTTTATTGATAAATAGTTTCACTTAATTATGTCGATAGGAGTCTACGAGACTGACGTAGTCAAGTCGTAGTCTAAAAGTGTCAGTGCATATCTGACAAAGAATGCGTCGCCTAACGTCGGTCATGAAACGTCAGAATTCAGATGCTTAGGATATAACAATCCATTTCACACTAGACTGATGATCCGTTGCGTAATAACATAAATGTACTTACTTCCCTAAGGCACTTGACTGATCATTCGTCAGATATGTACATAAAGCATCCTGTTTTTAATATTATACTCGTAGAAAGTACAGAAAGTTATTAGTGTTCTTGTAAGCAGCCTCTATGTAAAGATTATTAATAGCTTATTTAAAACGCGAGCGCTGTGTGTCATTTACAATTCTGAATTTGTACGTTATTATGCTACGCAATTTGTCATTTCTGAGAATAGTGTCCGAGGCTTTGTTAGTATTAATAATAATAAGTTCAACCGGCCGGGACATACTAACCCACTTTCTCGTTATACGTTTATATATTTTAATTTTTTTTCAAGAGTATTTTTTGTGATTTTCAGTGATGCCATTTATAAAATAAAAATTAGTAGTATATGTTGTTATAGAAGTTGGCAAATGTAATGTAAATGTATGTTATAATACAAGAGTTATAAAATTCAAAGTTATGGAAAGCATTGAATACGTCGCTTACGCTTCGAATTTTGCAGATGGGAACAAAGGAAACTCATTTTTTATGAAAACAGTTCACTTGTATATAGTCGTGTCCACAAATACAAAATATTGGTCCACAGATTGACTCGGAAAATGTAAATATAAGATATGTATGTATGGTGGTATGTAATTTTTTTGGATAAACTAAAAATTCTTTCCATAAGCGTATTTGCATATATTTCATTAAATTTAGTAATGATTTTTAATATTCGTACTATACCAAAGTCGATTAGGAACAAAATTTAGTGTGTTATTAATTAGAAATTTATCATTACACTGCTAAATCTAACAACTGTTCAACTGAGATGGTTAATACTATAAGCTAAGTCGAAATCCTTTATGGCCTAATTATTTTATCAATTTATTTTCTTCTTTGTGTTTATACTTTTAATACTACATTTCAGAACACTAGTACTGATTTTCTCAAAACAATCGGCCCCTCATTGGTATTAGATGGCATGAAGTATAAGTATTAGAAAAACTAACTAACCAAAAAAAAAAGAAATAGCAATATTGAAAACTAAACCAAAAATATTACTACACTCAATTGAATAAATACTATTGTGACATATTTACCACGCTTTTAAAGTAAATCATGCTTACAGATTAAGCAGATTAGTAGACATAAATACTTAGAGTATTTAAACCAATTAATAATATTACAAGGCCCTTCCTGCCAGTAGAACAAAGAGAGGTGCCAGGTAACACCCTTCATATATTATTCATGAACAGGGTGAAAGCAATGTAAATTATGATTTAGGTAACAATAAATTAACTTACAAATGCAAAGAGCCCCTAAAAATGAATGTGATCTTTTTGATCTTCATATATTGATATCATCAAAAATATAAATGTGTAATGAGAACCAAGTTCAATATGATTCTTTATCGATTTAGATGACTAAATGTTGATGCTAAGTTATGTACTTAAAATTTTAGAGTATTATTTACACAATTCGTTTGTTGCGTTAAAAATTAATTTGAACTAATTTAAAGTCAGGATTAGACTTGAACTAATTTCTGCCAAAAGATGAAAATTCGCCTGTGGTCGGTGTTAAGATGCAACCGGAATCCAAGCCGTAAAATGCCGTCGGAAATACAGAGGAGTTCGAGATAATAAAGTTTTGGTTACTCCTATGGCAGGCCTTTGTTGGAATTGCTTAACTTCTACATCGCAGAGGGAATGAGCGAACCTCTACACCATGGAACTGAGCATAATAAAAGATAATTATATTATTGATCTATTTCTAAAACTGTTACAGCACATAAAATTGTAACTATTGTAAATTAAAGTGACTTCATAATGTTGAAGTATACCTGTGGGTAACTACGGTGTGAAATAAAACTAAACAGCATTAAAAATAGACGATAGCCCTAGTTCCGTTTCTTACCATTTCTTCTCACAATAAGATCTCCCGTATGATCTCGTGGAAGAATGAATCAAATAGTTTAAATATTAAGAAAATGTATTATCATTATGTCTATGACATAGAACATTCTAATGTTCTATAGACAAAATATGTACAATATAAAATCTCTATCAACACCCGTATTAGACTAAATGATATTTAATAAAAGTCAAGTTATTTTTATTCTTTTTAATGATAGAATCTAAGAAATGAGTTATTTAATCCCCATGGTAAAATTTATGCAAAGTGTGAAACTTCGTTAATTTTAATTAGTGGAAACATAATATTTTATAATTCTGTTTTACCTAAACCAGATTTAAAGAAACTTCAAAGATACCTATATGTAAAATTTAATAACATTAATTTATAAAGTAACATAAACCACATTATGATAATTAAAAGTTTCAACGACACAACCCTTAATTAATATTCCGATCTGCTTAACTTACATTGTATCTATATCTACTCAAACTTGTACGGCTAATTGAATTTCAACTTCATTTCAATTAAAACCGGAACAATTAAAACGGGATTCAATAAGATTCTATATTCAAATGGCATATAACAATTTTGGTATAGCATTATCGTATGCTGCCAATATACAATACGAAAAAAAAAAATACAGTAATTTACTGTAATATGATAATTTAAAATCTCAATTGAACAAAAATAGAAGGTTTATTGTCAATATCACATGAACAAGGAAAACACAAAAGTTAGATAGAATCTCCAACAATACGAAAACATTAAAAAATAAATTTCTACATCTAAAAAATCTTTAATTTTATTTTTAGTTTTTAAATTCAATCAAATAAATTTTCCTCTATATAGATTGTATGTATGTTATGTATGTTTGTATGTTCTTCTTACAAGTTTTTTTTTTTATCGACAGGTATTCGTTGACATGGAAGTAATCTACACCGCTCCACCTGCTGTTGTTATACCCTCGACTGAGGATTTACTTTACCATGCTGAAGTTACGTCAACTAGAGGTTTCCAGCAGGCGTCAGAACAGCCTTCGGTCCATGGCTCCACACGTGGATCCATTCACGGATCGGTCCACGGCTCCACTCATAGCTCTGCTCCGCAATCAGATGATGATAATGAACTGGAGAATATTGAGCGAAATATTGCAAGTCTCGAACGGAGCTTACAGAATAAAGACATTGTGATTGACTTGGAATCCGGTGACGAATCACGCACTCGCAAGTTAAAGATTGTTGGGAAGCGTTTTTTGAGGTAAGATTTTCACGGTATCAATATAGAGTACTTATTATGTTAATGCTACAGTCAACAGAGGATAGTACTATCCTATCCCTGGATTTTAAAGGTATTTAAAATCCAGGGGACTTTTGGACGCTGTTATATATTTTTTTATTTATGGCCCTATTTTTGAAGAAATAATGCCACGATACACAACGAATATAAAAATAGGGCAATTTTCATTGTATTGCAACGTTTGTGTAACCAATAGGGGTATACAGCAATATCGGCCATTTGTAATTATGTTTAATCCCTCATTATGAACAAAATCTTGACAAGTCACTAAATCATCACCAGCCTATTAGAGTCACTGCTGGGGCTTAAGCTTTCCCTAGGGATGGAATGGAATCGAATCAACTAGTGAGACTCAGAATTTTATCTACTATATATACTTGAGAAAGATACATAGTCATCCTAACCAAACACTTATAATGATTCTAATAACCGTTTTCACTAACCTAGAATAAGGCATAGCCTAACGCCTAATCACACGAATCGCCTAAGCAGATTATTTCCAATTAAACTTTTTTATCTAGTGACACATTTGTAACCTATTTATTTTATTTTTGTTTTTTGTTTTTTCTCTTTATTTTGGCATAAACAGTCCTTAAGGAAAAAAGTGCTTAAATATAGATAGTGCTTATATTTTAGACAATACAGTGCCAAAAACGATAAACAATAATTAACAATCTATAAAACAGTAAGAAACTTGTTGAAATAAATTACATCAGAATTTACAATTTTTTACATGCAATTATGAACACTTCATATCATGCTGCCTATTTTTTTTCCAACATTATTCGCTTTAACCCTATTAAAGAAATTATTATTACGCAATTAAATTATTACGCAAACACATAGTGCAACGCGCCGCATATAACGCATTTCAACAATAGATATTGCTTTATACCTTTAGGTGGTGCCTAGTCGACAGAGGTGGACGAGTCCTAAATTTATTAAAAACGGGCATAACACATCCAGTATGTTTTTATAGCCTTTATAAATATTAATATACGAACAGTAAACAGCCTCTCTGAATTGTGTAAAGCTGAAGTGTTTTGATTGTAGCAGTTTAACACAGTACATACAAATTTTACATGACTATGGTACAGAATATTAACTAGGCTTTCGTTAGCGGGCCGATTTAATTTCACAATATCTACTGTACTATTAGAGTTGGTCAAGGCAAGGAACTGCTGCTGGTACTCCAACCTAGGACCAACGCATCAGTTCTGACCGAGGTAAAGATAAAAATGAGATTGTCCACCACTTGTCTACGTAGGAGTTTCGAATTCTTTGGACACATTGTTAGAAAAGAAGGCGATAATCTCAAAAAAACTTTAATGACGGGAAGAATAGATGGACGAATACCACGAGGAAGAAGTCCTTTACATTGGTCAGATCAGATCCGCACACCAACAACACCACAGTCAGCGAGAGTAACCACAGAGTAATTCAACGAGGTCATGGCCCTCAGCATTGAGGATGAACCACTCAAGACGGGAGTTTTTAAATACTTACAGAAAATAATTAAATGACCACCTATGATTCTATTTGGGACTGTGGCGACTTATGTTAGAGTACTCGACATCCATTAAACATTTGGAGGTGTGCGTTCGCAGTTTTACAACTGAAAATATTTTATAGCAAATATCGTTCACGCGAACTTACAATTCGGCCAATAGCTGAACTGAAACCCTGAAAAATTCATACGTGTGACTACAAAAAACCCTTTTTTAAAGGTTTGTACTATAAAACCTTCTTAAGCTGGTTTATAAATTCAGATAAGATATAGGCACGTAAGGTTAAAATTGATTATTATAATAAAAATGAATGTCGAATTGATAACGGAAAATAAATTACAATATTCTATTTTTTTTAAATAACATTACGTATTTGTCATAAAAAATCTCATTAAATTTTTGCATAAAAAAAAAATGACTTACGTACCTTTATGTAATTACTATATTATATTATGTATTTATTATTAAAGTTGTCCTGTTTTATAACACTATGTCAAGTAGGACGTGTTTGTATGTTCCTCGATACAATGGTATTAGAACCGATTACATTTGTGACCAGCCAAGGAACGCTGAACGTCTATTGTTGATATGTGGGAGCAAATGTGTTTGAGTCGTTAAGTGTGTACTATTGTCTTCTATTGCAGTTTGAAGACCGATCTTGTTTAAAATTTTTAGTCAGCGTATTTTATCAACCACGTTGCGGCGCCAGTTGTGACGGGTTCGATGCTTGGGCGAATTAATGAAAAAGCTGACTAACTTGAGAATTGATTTATTTTATGGTAATAATGGATAAAGAAAATGTAACAAACAAAAAAAATTATATAAAATTATTTTGTATGTTTAACTAAATATAAAATTAAAATTGCTAAATAAAACATATATAAACCTAGGACGAAATAAACGATGGTACGGCACACCGTTACAAGCTTTCAACGTGAACATTAAAGAGTAAAAGTATATATTAGGTATATACCCTGGCCGGTTTTGTATTTGAAATAATAACTGTCCACAATATAACAAATACTGATTTTAAGAATAATAGTGGTGGCCAGATTTCACGAGTCAAAATGAAACATTTTCGTTTGTTTATCTTTGGAACTTCATGTTCTTATTAATACACTTGCTTTCATGCCATGGACATGGAGTAACAATGAAAATTTGAATAGTGAGCAATAGTTACTATGGTGACTTTTTATTTCCCCGTACAAACTTCCGCTCCCATTTCCATTCCTTTAATTGCCGTTTTTCGAGATAAAATGTAGTCTATGATCACTGCATATGATGTAGCTTCCCATAAAAGAAAGAATTTTTAAAATCGGTCCATTATTTTCGGAGTTTAAGTATTCGATGCAGAGCAACAATCAAATCTTTTCTCTGTATAATATTAGTATAGAAAAGCAAAAAGGATATAAGTGCTGCAATGTAATAATTTTACTCAGAACCCGTTAGTACATTCATATAAGCTTTAATTTTTGAGTATTTTAAAGACTGCTGTAATACCTCATATAAAACGCCTTCGTCAAATCAATTGTAATAACATTGATTAATTGAAATCGGCCAATAATTTTAACATACAAGCGACTCAAAGCAAACTTCCTCATTTGCAACCGGTAGTCAATTTTTACAAGCTTTTATTTAAATTGCCTCGTTAGTATGTTAGTTAGAGCGCAAATCTTAGAACTCAAATTTGACCCACTTCCCAATGTCTGATAGATTTGAAATTTTGCATATAAGTCAGATGACAATGCAATATTAAGATGTCAGTAAGCTGATATGATGATGAAGTCGGATGGTGGTTATAGGAACTTAGCGATGAAATGACGCAACTACATTGTGTTTATTTTTGGGCTGTTTGGGCTCTTGAGATCTGTCTTTATGAGATCAGAAACATATTGAGACAAAACTAAAAAATATAATAAAAAAGCCTTTTAAAAACAGGCTTTTATTTGTGTTAAAAAACCAAAGTGTTTAAAGACCAAAATAAAACTATCTAGTATACTACGTATGTAGTATATTACATATCTAGTATACCTACTACGTACGTAATACTACACACTTGAATTCCCTAACATTTTTACCTCAAGAATAATACAAACTAAAACTATAATAGATATATTTTAATGCTTTTACAAACTCGGTCATAAGGTTAGTAATATAAAAACTCTTTTAGAATAAATCGTTTATTAAATCAAGTAAATTTATCCTATATTATTATTTCTGAGTACTATCAAAATTATTTTTTATTATCACAATATGACTATCACAATATGTAAATTCAACGCTACCCCTTGCTCATACAATTTTCGCAGTTTGATGGAGTCCCATTTTAGAAGTGTGTTCCCAGAATTACTCTCATAAACTCAATTAGCCTTCATTACTTGACTAATCAAATGTCGATTACGTCACGTGCGATGTGAAAGTTTATAGTAATAAATTTACTTTTCATAATTCCTCTCACGTGCCTACCATATGAAGTACATATATTTCTTTAGATAAATTCTGTTTGGACAAATATAATTAGACTAGCTGATTTCTCTCGACTTCGGCCGCGAAATTTATAATCTATAGTATCCGCATATGATGCATGTATAGATAATGTAAATTTGATGATACTATAAAGTGTTCTTTAAACACTAGAGCATTTATTTGTTATTTATTTGTATAATTAGCCTCTAATAAAGTATTACCTTGTAATTATAGAAACTTAAGTGTCTTACACTCAATGATAGACAGATGATGGAAAAATGCGCGGTAAAAACGATCTTTAATTAATTATTAATTAGATAACTATTAATTAATTAATTAATAATTAATTAATTAATTAATAATTAATTAAAATAATAATTTATTAATTAATTATTATTGTAAAATTGCTGCATAATTCCCTAAACAGTGACTTTTATTTCATCTATAAAAAGAATTTCCTCTATAAAAATAAAAAAGTTGCAACTAGAAATGGAAAAATGGTGCATTCTAGGTGTTAATTTGTGATTTTTTTCTATATAGAGAAAATTTTATAAAGTCACGTTATGGCTTTCCAAAATATGATATAGATAGATGAACACTTTATTGCACACATAATAATAGTAATTAATAGTTTTTTATTTTCAATTACAACTTATTTTGGTATTATTTTGTTGCACAAACGTCCATTAAAATTTTCATTAGTTTAATACAAATTTGACATTAATAAGAGTTTAAAGGCGTCATTAAACCTTAATTGACATTTGTGTAACTGACTGAAAACCAGTTATGTAAGTTAATGATGTTGGTTGTACATTCTTAATTCTCAAATTTTGAACTATCATAACAGTTTTATAGATCATTTTAAGATTTTTCTTTTGTACTTTTATGTGCCCGATATTGTGTTCTCATCTTTACTCATCATTTTCCATCAACGCAAACAATAATTTTCATATTTTATTAACACAAAAATTTTCTTGATACACATCCTATATTCCTATACCCTGTCTAACGAATATATTTACGTTAGCTTTAGGGTTTGACTAGCTAGTTCTAGTCAGTTCGATGTAGCAGACAGTTGAGAGGATTTGATTTAATAATGAAATATTATAGATGCCTGCGCCATAAAATCTACCAAAACTAGGCCACATAAGTATAAAGAATATAAGCATATCTTACAACGTAAGGAATGCTTTCTTTAAACCTACACCCAAAGAAGATTTTCTAAATTTGAAATATAATTTTCTCTTTTTATATATTTTTCTTTCTTTATTTTTCAATGCAATGTTTGTATATTTTGATATTCCTAAAACTATAAAACACATTTTCCATATCTCTACGATAGGGATAAGTGCTCGTAACCTTAACTATAATCCATCTTCTTATATATTTATATCATATCGTGATCTCTAAGGGAATAAAAATATACAATGTGTCCGCCTTTTGTCGTCTAGTGAGACTTGACTGGAAAAAATATAAGTATTTTCCTGTCTTTATAATAGGTAACAGACTGCCATTTCGTCATTGTTTAGCGGCGGTATGCGATGCTCGGTGTACCATATCACTGATTTATATTAAAAAAATCTTCGAAATTGATTTTAACCTTGAGTAATATACGGGATCTTTCAGTACATCTGATATTTGAAGTGATGTATCAGAAAATTTAATCTATTCTAATATTATCATCATCACCAGTTTTGTCCCCACTGCAGGGGCTCAGGCCTTCCTTATATTTGGTAAAGGAGCATGGGCCAATGCGGATTGGTGAGTATTAACGACTGCAAATGCAGCCGGGATCAATGGCTTAACGTACCTTCCGAAGCACGGATTAGCTGGAGATGATAATTTTTTGGTCACCCATCCCGTGCCCTTGCGAAATTTCCTTAACGACAACGATTGCGTGACGCGTCGCTTAGCTACTACGCCACCGAGCTAGTATTGTAAAGAGCAAAAATTTGATTGTGTTTGTTTGTTTGCTTCGAATAGGCCTCGAAACTACTGGGCCAATTATAAAAATTATTTCACCAAAGGGTAGCTACATTATACGAGGTTGATATAGGCTATAATTTACGTGTGCGAAGTCGCGGAACAACAGCTAGTACACTATATATATATGCAGTTACATCTGAAAACACATAAATATTGGAAAACTCTCAGATCAATTAGACAGCAAGCAGCTTGGATACGCGACATTCATTCTTTCCATGATTTACGAAATAAAACTGAAGATAACGTTAATCTATATTTCGCAATGCATACTTTAAACAAATTAAGTCTAATTTTGGAACACAACCATTAATAATTTTATAAAGATTTAAAATATTTGAATTTTTACTGCATAATTATTTTTTTGTAAGTGACAGAAAAGGTAATTATTTATTAGATGTTTTTAAAAATTTCAATTCTAATATAAATCAATATAAACTCGGAGAAGGATTTTATTAATGGAATAATGAACTTAATAATGAACTTTATTCCGCTGACCTTATAAGTACGGTAAGGTGGGTTACAGTGTGACAAGGGGCACTCTCAATATCTCCGTCTCTTTTTACCATATCGTTATCGCTTAAACAGATTTCAGACAAGCGCATATGTATTTGTAGATAAATACGCGTAGATAGTTTGCCGATATCGTAACTTACAAATTATTTTGTATGATTGTTTTTTTTTGTTTGAGCCTATGGGGTACAGTGTTACGGGGCACTATGTGACAATGTCACAACTGTTGAAAAGCAAAGCAAATTTATATCCCACTTGAGCCAGATTTGGCGTTAGTTGGAATAGAAGATGTAGAAATTGTTTTACCTGAGCTTGAAAAGTGCAAATAACCTATAAAACAACAAGCTGAATTTTATATTTCTCCTAAAAAATATTTTAGGTCCAGTGGTTTTGGGGCTTATTCGACGCCAAAAAAAACAAATTTTTCGTCTTTATACTACTATCTAAACTCCTGCGACTTCGCCCACGATAATTATATGTCTCTAGCATATGATGTAGCTTCCTTTGGTGAAAGAGTTTTTAAAATTAGTCCAGTAGTTTCGGTGTCCATTTGATGCAAACAAACAAAATAATAAAATCTTTCCTCTTATAATATTAATATAGATTAGTAAAGATAATACGAGCTACAAATCAGATCTATAGAAATATATAAAAGTTCGTTTTCTAGATTGATCGAACCGAAAATAGGACCTGGAACTTTTGAAGTGTTAACAACATTTTCACCATGAATCTCTTTTACAGGCGGGGATTTTCCATGGGCGCTGAAAAATCGGTCACAATAGCCGAACGTGATCGCAAAAGGACATCGACCTTCAAGAGTGTACGCAGCCTGATAAGACTCGGACGTGGAAGGTCTCGTGACTGCAGCGGAGATGAGGAACAAGGCTTACTTGACATGCCGGGTCCCTCTACTGAACCAGATCGCCCCATTAGCCAGACATCTGCTTCCTCCGATGAACTGTTGGTGGACACCAGGTCGCCAACAGAAACACCAAAGATAAAACGAATGTGAGAATATTATTTGTAAAATTCGAATTTTTCCTATAAAGACAATCCAGGTCTACCTAGGTTTCAACGGGTGTCGCTTACACTGTTAATTTTCTTCCTAAATCCTACGTAAAAATAAAGATAAGCATAAAAATATCCAAAGTTCTTGCTCTAATCTTAGACGTCATTTTTGGTATTTTTTATTCGTAATTTAAAATTTCTAGCACATGTGTACTTACTTCAAAAAATTATTTATAGTGTCATTTCTTCGGCAGACTTGTTAAGGGGCTGGACTGGATGACTTTTAGAAATCGACACGCCCCCTTACATAAATACAGGTGTTTACGCTAGTGTGGGTTAGCTCATTGCCCGTTCCTCAGAAGAACAACAAATGTCTATGGGCGCTTGTGCACTACATTGAATTTTCAGGTCCGGCGGTCCGATTTTTTCCGGTCCGGAATGACATGAAAAACCCGGATGAGTAGCTTGTGCACTTGTCCGTTTTTTCCTATTCTACTAAATAAATTTTGTTTAAATCGAATCGAAAACGAATCTAAAATAGAACTGGAATTGTTTCGTATGTCACTTTGTAGAATAGAAAAACCATTAAAAACTGTATTTTCTTTCGGTTTCGATCCATTTTCGATGCTATTAAAACAAAATTTATTTAGTAGAATTGGCCCCCTGATCGGGGCGGCGCAGTGTAGGGCAGCTCTCTTATAGCTACATGACATTTACGCTAGGTATGATGAGATTTTTGGAACGTCGGTAATTGCGTTCAAGGACGTAGAAAGGTACCTAAATAATGACCTGATCATTTTACATAAGCCACAATAAATTATGGCAAGACGGAAGCTATTTTTTTACTACTATCGCATGACTACTATCAGATGTAAAACCTTATACCCTTATTTATTTAAGAACAGTATTATTCACATACAATAGCTAAAAATATCTGTGACATTAGAATAAAATTACTGATACTGATAAAATTTATAAAATTACTTGATGTTTAAATTTATTAACGTGCTATTTTTTTTTTTCGAAGTTTTGTAAAAACAACTTTAAGCGATTACAGAGATAGACCAATCGGTGGCGCCATTTCGTAAACAAATCGTAATTAGTGCCGTGTAAGCGGAGAATTAATATGTTAAATGAACTTTACGAGATCAGTTGACTGTATTATATATAGGGGAGAATGAGTAAGACGGGTAAGACGGGGTACCCGGAGAAATTCACAGTTCAAAGTAACCAATCACACTCGTTTATTCATCGTTCGATGCGCCACCATGATACTTAACAGTCATCTGGCGATTGATGGTTTGTAATTGCACACATATCGAAAACAGTAAAAAAAAATATTCTACTGCAAACTACTTATCATGTTTTCTTCGGGTTTGACACGTGACTGTGATTTGTTAAATAATGCTAGCTGGTGAGGTGTTGCTGTGATTGACGCTTAAGCTATTCTATAATAAAGTAGGCATTATGTTTCCTTAAAATTGTCGACTGGTTTTTTTTTTTTTATTGCTAGAAAATGGCTCTGTAGGCAAGTTTGTTTTCCGTAAAAATAGCCGAACAACGAAAACAGATGAACGACAAAGAGTCTTATCATCAGAATATGAAAGTGAAGAAGAGGGGGACCAGTCATGTGTGTATTGTTTGGAAGTATATTCTGTTTTCATTGAAGGGTGGATATCATGCTCAGTAAGTGGAATTCTGCCAGCCCTAAGTAATTAACTTTCTCATCATTTTCATCACCCCATCTTACCTTAAGGGGGTACCCCATCTTACCAGCACCATGGGGCATGACGGGTCAAACGCCTTTTTTTTATTCATATTTTTTTTTCTCTAAAATATGTAACTTGAGTTCCTACTGAAACCAAATATTGGAATAGTAACAATAAGTCGTTATTTAAAAAATAAATATGACCTATATTATAATGTATTTTTTTATTTTATTGACCTTCAAAGCTTAAGTACCCCATCTTGTCACCCTCTCCCCTAGCCATAATTTTATATGCTTGGTGTAGTTTCTTAGAGCAGAAATATTCTTCCTTTAGAATACTTTTTTATTTATTTATTTATGACACAAACAGTCATTTCATTTTGTTACAATATAGACCTTAATGCGAAAAAGACATAGAGTGTCACTTAATTACTTCTGTTATCAAATATTTATCTATACTTATGTTAATATTATAAATGTGAAAGTTTCTTTGTTTGGATGTTTAGATGTTTGGATGATTGGATGTTTGTCCGTCAATCACGCCGAAACTACAGAACGGATTTTGATGAAATTTGATACAGATAGATTATTAGCTGACTTAGATAACAGGATACTTTTTATCCCACTAAACATTTCCCTAGGGTCCACGCGGGCGAATCCGCTGACGAAAGCTAGTACTTATTAATTGTATAAAAAAATTTTGATGATGTCAAATTTCCAGGCAAACTTTCATCCCCTATTTATCGCGATAAAATGTAGCCTATGACCTTTGCTGCCATCATGGACCTGAAAAAACCGGTCCGGAATGGAGAAAAGTAAAATCCCGGACGGTAAAATTCCTGACAGTGCACAGGCTAGCATTACCTATATATGACCATATCGGACCTGAAAAATCGGACCGCCGGACATGAAAATTCAGTGTAGTGTGTACCTGATAATATGGGCCCATCAGAATAAACCAAATATCACGTCATGGTACCTAATCCCCGCCGAGTATCACTGAGATGGGCTTTCATACCTTATTCTTATTATAAGAGCATTATATATTTTAATTGTACGTATTTTTGGTAGGTCGGCTTTACGCAAACGAAATTGAAAGTCATTATATTTACTACCTACACATATCCATATCGAACTTGCCGGAGAAGGCGAAAGAAAGCAATTTTAGAATCGTTTTTATTGGAATATAGGGTAGATGCGCCTGTTTCTACCATTGTCTTGCTGTCGAACATTTCATGGCCATTTCATGTCGAAAAATAATATTTTAAAAGTCTATGCAAATTTTAAATAGTACATTAAGGATATCGAGCTTATAGGGAAGGCAAAGTCATCCAAAACACTCTTTTTATAAACTCCAATACAATCATAATACTACAATATTTAAATGAAAATTCACTAAAATTTTTACAGAAATAGTTCTCATTGGCTTAGATAGTTTTTGTCATAGAAAATATATTATTTTTTATTAAATAAAATTTTATTCGATTTAAAAAACATATTACTTGCACCAAAAATATGACTTACAGGTGTATTACAACAGCTGTAGCTATAATTTAAAATATAGAGAAAATACTGTGTTTTGTGCATCGAAATCCCTATTCTTTCAAGTTTATGAGTAAACATAAGTATGTAGTGAAATTTCATTAGCAGACAGGGAACTAAACGCCTTTAAATACTGTTACATCCGCTGTATATCTATATACAACGTGTAACATAATAAAAGCACATTCTGAAAGTAGTTTGTTTATTCTTCGTTATACTAACACACAGTTACGAGTAATACATCGAAGTGTTTAAGGATTATGGGATAATGTGATAGCAAGACTATGCTAGCTGATATTCATAACAAGTAAGAATCATAATTATAGCCTAAACTTAAAAAGTACTGAATCTCGAAACAGAATAATAATTTAGTGTCGAGAATTTGTTTGAGAGATAAGTGGTATCATTGTTGTATTGCGCTGTAAGTACATATATTTGTAGTGACAGGCTAAACCGTAATTTTCACGTCATTGTGTTGATTTGTAAAATGTCCACACCGTTACCAAACCATAAGTATAACTGTGTCATAAACAATGTTTTAGTACAAAATAGTGACATTCCAATTTTCGTTTTATGATTATAAATCCATTTTCTAATTGGGGTGTATAAGGATGTGCAAGAAAGTAACGTCTGTACATTGAATATATTTCCAAATTTGAGGGTGGTTAATAAACAATAATAAAATACGAATTTAAAAAATATTGTCTGTTTATCTATATGTACACGCTAATTTTGGAAACTTAAACATTTGATGCACAACAACAAAAAATTATTGTGCCTCATCAATATATTCTGCTAAGAGTTCAAAAGTCAAAGATCCGGAACATATAATGTGGTTTTCAAAGATACTGGTTATACTATAACATCGGATAAAACGTCACGTCTAATTGTGGACACAATTAGACGTGACGGGGTGCACAATAGAGGTGGAAGAGGTTTTGTAGGAAGAGGCGATTATGTAACTATACTTACATATACAATATACAGACACAAAAGGTAAAGAAATATGCATAACATACATAAAAAATATACATACATAATTACTATAAAAATACATACTTAATGATTTAATGATTTTACTTGTTCCAACAGAAAGATTTGCTATTCAATAACTTGTTTTTAGAAGCTAATTTACTATTGATCATTCTAGCGTCTAACGGAAATTCATCCCACAAAGGAATAGATTTGACGAAAAACGAAGAATGAACGATTTCGGAATAATGAGATGGGCTCTACCCCTGGATCTTTAATTTTGATATATTAAGATAATTATGCTATTTTATTACTCAAAATTAGCCTAGGTATGATTATTTCAAAGCAAATTTCAATGATTCTGCAAATTTGTGCTTTACGTTTCACTATCGAAACTACCCTATTACCAAGTATGCTTAAAATTGTATTATTTTGTTTGCAATACAACTATAGTCTATTGAGTATCGTTTAAAATTGTATACTAATCCGGAACACTGTACATTTACCTTACAGAAAAATCTTCAGTTTTTATTATCAATAATTGTATGTTATAGTACATAGTTTGCAAACCAATAAAGGATATCTAGAGGTATTGTTATATCAGATTACCGCGAAATTTATCCAATCGTTTTTCCGTGAAAATGACAAAAAAGATAATATCTATACAATTATTAAATATAATAAGTTATATTTTAGTATAAACACATTAATGATTTTTAATAATATATTTCTCATAATAAAAAATATTGGGTACAAAAAATGAAGATAAAAAACCTGAAACTTGGTTTTGATCTGCGGCACAACGAGCACCTAGGGACCAGCACATTGGACATTGCGCCACACCAAACACTAGTTTGTAAAAAACTTGTACATTATTATTTAGTACACTGTAACCATCATTATCAAATTCATTCAATAGTAACTAATTCCCTTTTTTATATCAGTTTTATAAAGTGATACCTATTTATTGAACTATTTTATTTACATAATATGATTGATTAGGAATTACTTTTTTACTAGAGTAACGGTCTACGGGATGGTTATTGCGTAAAAATGTCAAACTTGCAAACACATAACTTTTATGGAAATATTTATCTATTGTCAAATTTTATGTTATATATTTTTACAGCAATTAAATTTATCAACTAGACTAGTTAAATTAAATAATACTTAATTACTGAATGAAATAATATTCTAAATTATTTTAACGAATTATTAATGAATAACATATACCTATAAAAAATGGCAGAGGAAAAATATATTAGGAAAAAGACGAAAAAGTAAAAAAAAAATGCTTCTCTGATGGGATTGGAACACGAACATGTATTTTATTGGAACTATTTCATCAATATTTGTATGAAAATGTTAGTCTGACTTTCGCCTAATTAATACTAAAAAAAAAATTAAATCACATTTTATACTGATTAATAATTAAATAAAAGTTGTTTTTTTAAAATTATGGCAGAAATTATGACAGAAAAAAATGAAAATTATAATAAAATAATATAAAAACAAGTTGAAAAAAGCAAGCTCTAGTGGGATTAGAACTTATAACTTCAAGACACTCGGGTCCCTTCCCTAGTACATTACACCAAAAATACTGTTAAAATAAGAGCAAAATTAAAATACTCATTTTAATTTTTTTTTACGATCCTAGCGATCTCGGTATGTCAGAACGCTGCAAAAAGCAATATAAGTCCATCAAGCAACACGCCTCAGCGTGAACTAAATTAGTGTGCTTTATTCTATAGCCTTCCCTGTGAATTGCAGTAGTAGTGACAGAAATGACAATACTTTAAAGTTGCTTGAAAGAAATGACCATAAGTGCTATATCACAAAATAAATTATATTGATTATTATAATAACACTATCAAAAATTGGTAATAACCAACTTTTATATCAACCTTTGATACATATTTGTACTCAATATCATTACTCTAATGTATCACATAATAGAAAAACTAGCCTTTCGCAATATTTTCAGATGCTACTTTGGAATTATTTTCTATCGAGTGAAGTTAATACAATCATGTTTCGGATGCAACCACAAGATCTGAAATACGATCAAGTATAACCACAAATTTTTGGATAGCTATAGGTTTCCCGTGAATTAGTACAATTCATCTATCTATTTTATCGATTCAGGACTATTCAACCCCTTAACAGTCACTACACATAATTATTCATAAAATCTTTAACAATTATAATAAGTGAAAGATATTTAAGTTTATACTTAGGTAATAGTTATGGCAATCGATTATATTTAAGTTTATTCCTATATTTTAACCCTAAGCACCCCATCATCGCAATATCTTACATCCTTTTACTTTCACAAATATTAGTAGAGAGATAAAAACCTTCAGTGTTATTATAATCAAAGTTAATGCCTAGATACATGAACCAACCTCCAACCGAACAAAAAAGTTTGAAAATGATCAAACCCAAACTTCAGAATATAATTCGAATGTTATTTCTGTAGGCGTACCGTATTGGACACTACGGGAGTATCCGCTTTGAAAGCTGCAGACTTCCAAGTTTGCGTAACAGTAATAGAGGCAAGACAGCTCGCTGGCCTCAACATGGATCCAGTGGTCTGCGTCCAAGTTGGAGACGTGCGCAAATACACCAGCGTCAAGGAGAGCACCAATTGCCCATACTACAATGAGGTAAGTATATGAAACAGTATAAAATCTTAAGTTATTTAACGCAGTAAAATAACGCTTTTAACTGAATTAATTTTATGTTTTTTATTAAATAAGTATAACTGTCATATAGGACACAAAATCAGATTATCGATTTCACGTAGCTATCCTAAAAATAGATTTTATATTATGATAAAAGCTAACAAATTGTGGTAGTACAGTTAAAAAGAGTACTTATTAGATTTAATTATGAACAAAATGAGAACATTTATCAGTTTTACGAAATCAAACTTAGAAGGTTGAATTTGTAATTGTGAAAAAGAGTCGATTTTTCAGTGTAATACTTTTGTTCACAGTATTTCGTGTTCGACTTCCACATGCCACCGATAATGCTGTTTGACAAAATTATAACATTGTCGGTAAGTAAACGTTTTTCCTTCATTATTATTAATTTAGTTAATGATAATATATTTTCATTACAATATGAGCGGCAGCGAAGTATATTTTAATTCCAATGAGTATTTACTACCGTGTTGGTGTCACTTTGTAATTTGTTAATAAAAAGTTTGACCAAATTATTCATCATCATCAAAATCCTATCAGACAGGGAACTTGTCACGCAGATCCAGTGTGAATAGCTCTAAAAACTGCAAATTCAGAATTATCTGTTTAACATGTTAATTAGATCGTTTTGGCAGGTCAATTCTTTAATAGAATTTCAAAGACTTACATTTTACCTTTGTACTATCCACGTAAACTCCAATATTATTAATCAATTATAAACATTTATAAAAATTTTCTTCTTGACCGGTTACAGTCACGATGTTGCTATCTTTAACGTCCCGGATTCGATTCAATTGGGTCAATACAGAAAATGTTTTTTTCTATATTGCCACGAGTATGGGTGGGATCCATGAAAAATAATAAGAAAGCGCGCGTGAAAAATAATAAGGAATTGTCAGAAAATAAATTATTTATTTTTATTTTCTGACAATTCCAGGGTAAATTTGGTCATTTCATTCTGTACGGCATCAGTTTCATACTGTTTCAATGCAGCTTCTAATCCATTATTCCGCAACGCCCTACAAAAATCATGCGACAAGGGGAAAAATCGAGGGTTGCTTTCCTTGGTCCGGGGGGTGATTTGAAAAAGTACGGCTTCGGTTCCAAAACATTATCTAACACTCAAAAGTACTATTAAAAATAATGCCGTCAAAATGGTATTGTTTATTTGAATGTTATATAAAATAAAATTGTTATATAGTATTGCCGTTCAAAAGAAACTGTTCTAAAAAAAATATAGAGAAATACAAAAACTGAAATTTTTAAAATTATTGCAATGTTTAAATATTCATACATTAATAAAATATAGCAGTTTTCTACATTTTTCCCTTGTTCTAAATAGTATTAAGATACATAAATTAGGAAAAAATGATGCCGTACATTTTAATGCAGACCATATCTATTTAGGCTGATGAAAATGACGCTACCATTTTAAGGGTACTTTACGGCCATCTGATACTGTACGGCATTAACATATTTTTGAAGAGAACAATTGATATTATGATAAAATCATTATGACATCTAACTGAAATGAAAGGGAGTGTATATAATATCCAAGAATTGAAACTAAATCCCAGTATCAACAGTTTTGTATACTTTTTCGTTAAATATATAGTTCAAACATTATTGATACATGTATATAATTGATTTATTTCATTGTAATTATGTGAATAAATAAAACAACAATTTTTTATGAAAATTTGATATATTTAAAGATGATAATACAAAATAAGATTTTTATTTAAATTATTCAGTATTAGAATCAGCCGCTGAGTTGTTATCGGAATCAACGTCTTCATCGACGTCCGAATCATCTTCTCTATCATTTTCTGAAACATTAAGTTTATGTCATTTAAGTTTTTGTTAAAATCAAAGTCTTACGTACAGATTAAAGATGTCAAGATTTATTTAATTACCTATGACGTCATCAATTTCTTCGCCTGATTCCTCATCCGCTTCCGTTATGTCACTGACTTTTTGGGAGATTGATACGAGAAGAAAATACCATGTGGCATTTGTATGACGTCATGGAACACGCAGAATAAAATTGTTTCATAATAAATGTAACCACAGAACATAGAGAGAGAATAGAAGTAGTAAGTGGGCGGGGCACGCGTCGCTGGCATATGCGCTTTTACTCATATGACGCCCTTTCCTCGGTTTTATGTTTGCCAGTCGTTCGTCAATCGTCGAGTGGTGATTTTACAGATTTTTTCTATAAAAAATGCCGTTTTGTGCTATTATCACTTGCAAAAAGCAAAGCAAAGTATACAATCTAACTAATGCAAACATTTCCTTTCACTGGTAAGTACAATTTTAGTGCTAAAATATAAAAAACGTAATAATTTGACACAATGTTAAATAAAATATACATTGATTGCTCAAACCAACATCAATGTTTCTGACCCCATTACTAAACAGCAATGTAAATCATTTTGTGCACTTTTGCAAAAAATAGTGCTGTGCCTCCATTTGTCTGAAATGTACCGATAGGCTGCTGCTGCTCGGAATCGTATTGTTAATTATATGGATCGTAATCGATAACTAAAACATATTTATTTAGAGCTTTTCTTTCATCATTTCATAACAACGTTATCGATAAATATATGCCATAATTATATAAAACTAAAAAATACTGTTTACAAGGGAAAATTATAGATGAACTGATACTGAACAAATGAAATAATGAACTGTCCAGGCACTTTTTTTACGAAGATTCGGTTAATTATTTACACGCAGATAAATATTAAAAATTACTGATGTGCTATAAATATCTAAGTTACGAAGTATATCACCGTTTTATGAACAATACATAAATTAAACGAAACTTCGTGAAAAGCTAAGAGTTGGCCTAATAGGTCTTGTTAGAAACTGGTGAAACTGGATTTCACTTATTTTGCATTACTTATATTTCAGTTTCCCTAATAACTTTACAACGGATTGCCTTGTTTACATAATTAATTTTGCCCTATCTGTTTTAGACCTAAACCTATCAAATGAATTTCAAAACAACATAATATCTATACAAACAAAAAATTATGTTTTCAACTAACGTAATATTGTTGGTGGTGTGAATTTAATTTACAAAATTAATTTTTAGGCGTCAATTTAATTTACCTTATTATGCTGATTCATAATCGGAAACTATTATTATAGAAATCGAGTTAAGAAAGCCACTTTAAAGAACCGCCCACAGAACAGCTTTTATCAGTTTTTTTGTTGCTCCATATTTGCACATAAGTTTATAGACGCATGTCTCAAACGGATGTGACTTTATATGTAGATTGACGTTTGTACGTACTTATCGCTTTTGTGTCTATCTTCAAACTTTTTTTGTCACGGCTTTCAAACTCATACTTGACCAGCAATTCCTTATTGTCCAGTCGTTGCAATTAATAATGTAGCTACTACTATTATTACAGATATAAAACTTAGAATAATAAAGTAAAACAAACATGGCTATGATCAATTTATTAGTGTAATGATCATATTAGTTATTATGAAATGAAATGAAAATATCTTTATTCAAGAAGGCTATTACAAGCACTTGGAATGGCAAGTTTATTTTTATTTCTACTTTTTTTTGTGAAGGAATCGTAATGTTTTCTTGCGTACATAATATTTTCATTGATGTATTGAGAGGCAACAGTCAAAATATTTATTTCTTTAAATATTTCTCTGAGAGATTCTCTAGACCGTAAATTATATATAGCGTGGACAGCTCTCTTTTGTAGAATAAAAATATCTTGAATGCTAGCCGCAGAACCCCATAACAATAGATTATACGTCATTCATTACACTATGAAAATAACTAAAATATACCAATCTTGCCGTTTCAACATTTGTTAAGAGTCTAATTTTCTTAACAGCAAATGCTGCAGAACTCAGTCTACTTGACAAATTATCAATATACCAAAATACCAAGGAACTTTGTCGATTCCACCATCTCAACTTTTTCACTATTTACATTTATAAGTATATTAACATGCCTCACATTAGGTAATGCAAACTTTATGTATTTCGTTTTATTTGAATAAAGCTTTAAATAATTACTATCAAACCACTGTAGAAAATTGTCGAACTGAATTACATTGAACTGTTTCATGACAAAATTTAAAGCTCTTATTTTATCAACTAATATGTCACATCACTAATATGCACAATTGGAATGATACCAGTAAGAAAAAAATACAAATTAGGCTTAATGTAATTAATACAAAAATTCTGTTGTTTTCTTAATTTTTGATTTTTTTACACTTTCCCTCGCTTAATTATATTACTCCACAGACATACGATAGAGTGTATCATTAAGTTTTCTTAGTTTTTGTACTACGTTTTTTAAAAGATATTTTAATAAATTATGTAGGGAAAAGCCTTAATTTTTCAGTATTCACTTGGTTACAGCAAAATCTAATATTAATAGTTCGCACATAAAATGATGACCCCAATTTTTTTAAATGTGCATAATCTTAAATTTTTTTTTCCTTCTGGTATCCCCATATACAGCCACGTGACAGTTCAACATTCATGTTAAAGTAAATTATTTATTATCACGTTGAATTAGAGTTTGTTTTTAATCGTGTGATTTCTTAGCTTAGTATCTTTTTGGGATTTGATTTATGTTATCGCGAACCTATCGCGTGTCGGTTTTTCATGTAGTGAACAAAATGATCATTTCATCTAATCTGTATTTGTGTGCGGAGAGGCGACACTCGGTTCCCATACTAAATTAATATCATTATACTTCTAATCTCTCTCTATGTTCTGTGAATGTAACTGAAGAATCTAGCGATACTGATTAGTGATTTAAGTAATTTTAAAAAATAATTAAATGTTTAAAAAAAAAGTTTGTACTTTTATTCCACTTTGAATACACCCTTATCCTGTGGTTGCACAGATGACTCACTAATCGCACAGGGTACAGTATTACCGCAGGTATATGGCCAGGTATAAATATATGCCTACAAATACTAAACGTCGTAACAGAACGTCGCTCTGTAAGCGATATACGAGGGTCAAACTGAAAGTTCTTAGAAAATCAAAAACTGATTACATTAGCCAGTTATTAGTTTTATTATATCTTTTCAAAATATTGTCCATTCACGTCAATACACCGCTGCATGCGATGGA